AAGGAAGGAAGGAAGGAAGGAAGGAAGGAAGGAAAGACATTCAAGACCATATTATGGGAGTTAGACTTAGTCTGGTTTCTGATAGCCTGGAATTCATTTGTGACAGAGGTCTTTCTACACTCAGGTACCGAAAGGTGGTTTCCAACAACTGCACGGATGGAGTGAGAGAGCAGTATACTGCTAAACCCCAGCAGTGTCCTGGCAAGGCCCCCCGAGGCCTCCGCATCATCACGTCTGATGGGAAACTGACTGCAGAACAAGGACACAATGTCACCCTCATGGTACAACTGGAAGAGGTAGGACAAGAAATTCATCCCTGTCTACCATTTGGGTAACTGGAATTGGGCCTGTGCTGCAGATGCAATGATAGAGTCTCTGCAGAGTGACCTTGGCAAGAGATATTAAAAGACCCAACCATGAAGCATACAATCCTCTCACAGTGACATTGATGCAGAAGGACTGTCTTCTCTCACCCCCTTTCTTAAAAAAAATGCCTCAAAGTCATTTTCACTCTTCTCCAGGCATCTAAGGATACTTAAGAAAGGACAATCCTGAGGAGCTTCGTTCCTGCGCTCCTCATTATCACTTGTTCTTCACTATCAGAGGCAGTGTTTTGATTTCACAGTTCCTTATTAGCACCTCAGCAATGTGTTTTCCCCAAGCATTTAAACACACAGAGGCACACACACACACACACACACACACACACACACACACACACACACAGAGAATCACAATCTAAAATCCATCCTTTCTGTGTAAGTCCCTTTTAATAAATGCTAAATGGTTTTATCACCTCTTGGCTTAGAGGTTTGAGGTCCTGAGTGTATTCCTACAAAACTCCTTTGAGTTTGTATAACTAGCTATTAGCTGCTCCCATGATTTGTCATTTTTGGGGGTACTGAGAGAACTTCACAAGGTAGTTTTCATATACCTTTACTTCAGCTATCTGATCTATTGCAGGAACCTCCAATTTATGCAACATAGTTGGGAAATGAGCTATTCCAGCTAGCTGAAGACTCGTTAATAAAAAGTTAGAATCTGTACTATTTTCCAAAGAATTATAATGCAGTAACATATTTTAGCATGAAAGTTGTGCAGAAAGATCTTCCTTTGGTGGCAGAATAGTTCAGAGGGGAAGGGAAAGGAATAAACTTTTTAAAGTGCTTACTACGTCCCAGGTATTGTGCTCAGCACTTTACAAATATCTTATTTGATCCTCACGATACTCTTGTGGGACAGGTGGTATTATTATTGCCATTTTACAGTTGAGGAAACTGAGTCATACTAAGATCAAGTGACTTGCTCACACAGCTCATTAGTATCTGTGGCTGGATTTGAACTCAATTCGTCTTAACTCCAGTCCAAGCACTCTATTCACTGTGTTACTTAGGTTATCTTGAATTGACTCAGAATCAACATTATGGATATACCATTTAGTGTAAAATTCTGTTAAAAATCATATTATCTGAGTTATGTAATTTAAGCAAACATGATATAATACACAGAAAGAGCATACTAAGATATTATTTCATATTCTAACTTCAGCAGCTTTGTGACAGTGGGTAAGCCCCAAATATTAGGACTCAAAGGGACCACTGGAATCATATAGTCCAACATTTATTTGAACAAGAGTCCCTGTACACTGTACCCCACAAATTCTGGCATTGCTTGTAGACCTACAGTGAGGTTGAACCTACTGCCCTCTGAGGTATCCCATTTCACTTTTTTATAATTCTATATTTTTTATAATCCAGATATCAGACCTAAATTTGTTTGGAATTTAACTTCTCTGAACCTCAGTTTCCTCATCTGTAAAAAAGGAATAAAGATATTTTAATTACTGCTCCTTGGAGGTGTGAGGAAAACATTTAAAATATTTATTGACTTATTGTTTTCCCACTGTCTTTCCTTCTACATATATCTCTTCTCTATCCAGAGAACCCCTTGGAGCAGTTGGGGGAGGGGGGAGAGAGACAGAATGACTGACGGGCAGACAAATGAACTAACCAACTCATCAGCTAAGGTTGACAGTATATTCAATTTTCCACACCCTAAAAGATCATAGATCTATAGTTACAAGGGACCTCAGAAGACATTTAGTACAACCCCTTCATTAAACAAATATAGAAACTGAGGCCCAGAGGACTTTGTGACTTGCCCAAGACCATAAAGGTAGCAGACATTCAGAGGGACAGAGGGATTTGAATCCAGTACTTCTGACTCTAGAGTCAATCTTCTTTCCACTGTACCACAACAGTTCCTTGACTCTCAGAGAAGGGAGGTATATGCATTTTCTCTGTTCTTTTTCAGAGACAAACTTAAATATTCTAATTATTCAAAACTGAGTTTTGATTATTTTATCATTTTTCTTTCCATTTACAATGTTGCTGTCATTTTATGTATGTTTGAGTGTGTAAATATATATATATGTAATATATTTACAATATATGGACAATATCTATCCAATGCCTCTCTCTTCTTTCCTTCCTTCCTTCCTTCCTTCCTTCCTTCCTTCCTTCCTTCCTTCCTCTCTCTCTCAATATACATATATAAGCACATATACACACATATAATATATATATCATTCTTCTCCATATGTAGACATATACATAAATCTATATATCTCCCATGCTGTTCTGTCTCTTCACACACACACACACACACACGCGTGCGCACACACACACACACACACACACAGAGTCAGTTGTTGTCCTTCATTCTTGAAGAGGACCAAAATGACACCACTATTTTAGAGTCAAGTTACAGTGTGTCCGACTGTGGCTGATCAGACCAGTACCAGCTCAGAATGCTCTACCACAGTCAGGCACAAATAGTACACGTGAACATTTGGGGTGTATTCTCTAAATTTGTGTATCTCATGTTTCTTTTGAACTATTTCAATTCTGCTTTGCTTATAGAGCACAGCACCTTCTCTGATGAGGGCATGCCATGCTGGGTGGTCCTGTCACAGTGTCTCCCATGTCATGCAATCAATTCCAAAGTTCTTGAGAGACCTTGGGAGTGTCCTTGTTTCACTTCTTCTGACCACATTGTGAGTGCTTGCCCTGTGTGAGTTCTCCATAAAATAGGCTTTTAGGCAAGGATATATTTGGCATTTGAACAATGTTGCTAGACCATCAAAGTTGTGCTCTCTGCAGTAAAGATACACACACAGAGATATATAAATACATATATCATGCTTCTCGATATATATTCATATATATGTATATAAATATGTATATACACACATACCCATATCTATATATAGATATATCTACATATCTCCCATTCTGCTCTCTCTCTCTCTCTATTTATATATCTATATATATGTGTGTGTGTGTGTATACACACACATACATATGCATATGTGTGTGTGTATATATATATATATATTTCCCCCCATGCTTTTCCATATATACACAACCAAATATATTATATACATATATCTATATTTATATCTCTATCTCTATTGATCTTTCCTGGTTCTGCCCACTTTTTCATCAGGTTATATAAGTCTTCCCATGCTTCTCTGTGTTTATTACATTCTTACAACACAATGCTATTCCATTATATTCATGTACCACAACATGTTTAGCCATTCCCCAGCAATGAGTATCTACTATGTTTCCAGTTCCTTAGTGCTACAAAAAAGTATGACTGTGAATATTTTGTCATATACGAGACCATTTCTATTTTTTATGTCTTTGTGGTATATGCCTAGCAGTGTGACCCCTGGGTCAGAGATTATGAGTGCTTTAGTTAATAGTATTTTAAAATATTTAGAGCTCTAAGACTTTAAGATGCAAAGAAGATGCCAATCTGCATTAGTAGGTATTTCCTCATCTTGGAATTCTTACACTAATGTTATCGCAGGTCCTTATCCTATCCCTAAACATTATATAAATATAAGTTATTATTACAGAGGCATCATGATATGGTGAAGGCTATACTAATGACAGAATCTCTAAACTTCAGTTCTGACCCTGACACTAGCTGTGACAAGTACCTTTGCTTCTCTGAACCTAATTTTTCTCATATGTAAAATGAGGATATTATTTGTACTACCTCTTTCCCAGTTGTGAGGAATGTCCTTTGGAACTCTTAATTTATCTGATAATTATGGGTTATTTGTTACTATTAGTAGTACAAGTTACAAGAGGAGAAGAAATAATAGATTGGAGTCTAGCTAAGTGGAAGTTTACTATGTGTGGGAGGCAGGGCAGAAGGGAGGGTATCATTCTCCCCCAAATGAGAAAAAAGATTGAAAAGGTAAATTCTTTTCATTTTCTATCCCTCAGTTGCTTCTTTGAAGCTTAGAAAATTATAGCTAGACATAGACCAATATTTCATACCATATACCAAAATAAGGTCAAAATGGGTACATGTTTGAGACGCTGAGGGTGATACTGTAAGTAAATTGGGGGAACAGGGAATAGTTTACCTGTTGGTTCTATGGATAAGAGAAGAATTTATGACCAAACAAGAGATAGAGAGCTTTATGGAATATAAAGTGGATAATTTTGGTTACATTAAATTAAAGACGTTTTGGGGAAAAAAAAGCAACAACAATGTGGCCAAGATTAGAAGGAAAACAGAAAAAGGGGAAAAATATTTCAAGTTTCTCTGATAAAGGCTGTATTTGTCAAATATATAGAGAACTGATTCCCCAATTGATAAATACTCAAAGGATATAAACAAGCAGTTTTCAGATAAAAAAAATCAAATCTATCTATAGTTATATGGAAAAATGTACTAAATCATTCCTGATTAAAGAAATGCAAATGAAAACAAGTAACTCACAAGTGAAATGACAAGTGTTGGAAGGGATGTGGGAAAACTGGGACACTAATGCGCTGTTGGTAGAGCTGTGAATTGATCCAACCTTCGGGAAAGCAATTTGGAACTAGGCCCAAAAGGCTATAAAACTTCGCATACTCTTTGACCTAGCAATAGCATTACTAGTTCTATACCTCAAAGGGAAAAACAAAGAGAGGAACTTTTTTATATAAAAATATTTATACCAGCTCTTGTGGTAGCATAGAGTTAGAAATTAAGGGGATGCCCATCAATTGGAGATTGTTTGAACAAGTTGTGGTATATAATTATAATGGGATACTATTTTGCTGAAAGAAATAGTAAGCAGGATGCTTTCAGAAAAACCTGGACTTACATAAATTGACGCAAAGTGAAGTCAGCAGAAACAGGAGAACACTGCACACCGTTAACAGCAATATTATATGATGATCAACTGTGAATGACTTAACTATACAATACACAGCATTAAAATGATCTA